TTTTCAAAATCATCATTGATTTTCCGGCGAAAATCCTTTGGCGGAACTGCAAGCATTGTGGCATAAAGTTTATTGAGTAAGTTTCTTAGTAAAACTGTCTTACGTCGATAATTTTCCGCACCTTTTTTAAAACCACACGCTCTTAAAGAGCGGAAATGAGTAAAATAACAAGACTTTAATCGTTTCGAAAATTACGTCGTGCTCGAAACGATACAGTATTACGATATTACGACACAAACCATACTATTACGCGAAATCTTCAAAATACCTACCTCCAACGTTTTATGACACTATAAAAAGGGGTATAAATGTGGAAAGCGTAACGGACATGTTATTAGTATTTTGATCTCCTTCACATGAGTATCTTTGGTTGTGGGAATGTAAGTTGTATTAAGCAATATTTTAGACATTTTTGCACTTGCATGAGCACGCACAGGTGTATTAGAACCGTTCTCAAGTAAACATTGTGACAAATATTGCTCATTTGCTACAACAATGACATAATTCAAATTTGTCATTTATTAGTCGATTGCAAAAAAAGAATGGAGAAGTATAAAGAATAACATCCTTTAATAAAACATCCTTTTATTCCTTTACAATTAATTAGTAATTTAAGTTATTACATCAAAATTACATTTTAAGATTAATATTTTAATGATTCAAAACATTCAACTCATTACTCATATTTTTTTGGAAATCTTTGTTTTTCAGAGTCGTTGCAGCAAATAAGTGACACATAGGATTAGTATCTCTCATTATTCTTTTTTTTTTCTTTAGTATCCGTACATCCCATTGACAGAGATAAAATTACATTAAAAAGTAAGATTTCCATTGTTATTAAGTTCTATTAGAAATAATTGAGAAATGAGATTATGTTACTTTTTATACTCTGAAGACCTACTTTACATCAAGAACATGAGTCAAAAGAACATGATCAAAAGAATAATAAGTATAATAATAACAAAAAGAAATATTCTATTTACGTGTATATTTATCCAAACTATTAAAAATTTTATCACGCTGAAAAAAAGAACAGCAAAGTGTTCGAGACAGCCGATACTTATTATCGAAGTATGAGAACCTCTTTGAAAAACGAATATAAAGTCCTCGAACGTCGTCCTTATGCTGCAACATCCGATACCCTTCCGTCAGCCTCTCGTTACTCGCTTATATGTGGACAATGTAATACAACACCTTCGATACAGCAGGAGTGCTTAAATGAAGCGATCCGTTGATCGTCTTGACGATCAGCGCGTGTATACAATCCACGGATAATCAATCGCTAAATGTCGAATGTAAAATCTTGAGACAACCGATCTCCATTGAAAATAGAAATCGAAAATAGAAAGGAACATTCTTTTAAAGTATAAGAGAATGCATCGTCATTTCGCTCGGCATTCTCGCGATTATATAGCTTCCGACTTGATGCTGACTCGCGAATAAAAAGTCGCGGAAGCAGAAGTCATAACGGAGCATGAAATACAGACATGACGTAGTTATACATAACGGGCATGCATAAGTTAGCAATAGGACATAAACTTCATGCACAATTACAAAAATATAACTCTCTAGAAACAGAGAGAAAGAGAAAGAGGAGTCGTATGAATAATGTACTGTAACACCTTTTCACGGCTGTTTATTAGAAACGGAAGGATTATTATGCCGGATGGAGGAAATAAGGGCTAAAGTTAGTGATATTCTATTACCAATTAGTTGTACGTTTAACGTAGCAGATATCCGCGATAATAAACCTTAATATCCAACCATTAAGTTGCACTCTTTGCAATTAATATTATTATTAGCTTGTTAACAGTAGCATGGCATGTTATATTGTATTACATGCATATTTATACACATTTTTAAATTTTTTTATATATGTTACTTACAAAAAAATTTCTCAGAAAGTGTCACGTCCCGTATTTAAGAGTTCTAGATTTTAAATTCTAACAAATGCGAACAAAATGTGCGTGCGAATGCTATATACATGGAGAGAATTTTCTTTTAAAATTTACTCTGAAAAATATGGTAGTTGTGGTACGATACAATATTTTTAAAGATTTTTACCACTTGCACTTCAATAAAATTGATCAACTTTTTATATTTTTTTGTAGTTTTATTAATGAATGAGAAAGATTTATACTAAAATTCTTTGAAATGCAGTATCCCGTATTGTCATATTTTCAGGGTAAATTCTAAGAAAAAATTCTCCGTATAGAGTAGACGACATGCATCATCCTACTTTGCGATGTCGTTTACTATACATATATGTTAATTTCCATTTCGCTGAACCTCATTGAGAACTTAATCGCACGTGCGTACGCCGGAAATACCTCTGGGTTTCTCGAATATGTTGCGTGAGACACGAGACTCATTGCGGAAGTGCAGCTCATAGAATGCAAATCGACTAAGATTCCTAAAATGTCAACGTTGATGAGATGGAAACAAGGAGAACTATTTCTATTACCTTATATAACTAAGAAATAGAAATTATATCATATGTTGCGAATGTGACTAAAAAGACTATAATTTTAAGGTCTTTTTAATCACGTTCACAACATATATAATATACTTTCTATTTCTTAATTGTAGCCATGCTCAGCTTAATCTATCACATAGACATGATGTATCGCAAGGACGTCCTAGAAAGCACTTAGTTGTCAACGGTGAAATCAGGATTGTCGGTCGATCTTTTCTCTTCCGCGCGGCAATAATCCTCATCGGACACCTCTACGGTGTGCTGATGCAGCGCGAGCATTACCGAGTATATCGGCTGTGGCATATGCATTACGTGAAATCGTGCAATATTCGACGACTACAAAAATGCATACGCGAGCGTACAGTTCCTGCACGCGCCGTGAGACTTTCTCCAGCCTCAGATATCGCGTATTTGTGGCATATATGCATCGCGTACACGTGTGTATCGTAAGTTTTGCTTATTTGCCCATGCGGGGTGAGCATTTTTTTATCTATCCATGTCTGGAATCTTTGACGTTACGACGTAATCCACGTTTTTTCTTCGATTCTACACACCGTGGACGTTTGGTGTGGTGGAAAATAACGGAATGCCCGAGAGACGCAAAACGCGCGCGGAATAAATTATTGGATATCGAATATATGTGGTGTATGTTTAAGATATTTAATACTGCATGGGAAAATATTTGTTAAAATAATTAAAATTAAAATTCATTGATTCAACAATTCTATAGCCGTAATATACAGATAGCGGGATTTTTATGTTAAAGTAGCAAAGTTATACAGTTGAGTGAAAATTAGTGATTATAAGTAATTATATTTGTTGTAATATTACAAATTTGTTAATACATCAAAGTTAATATATCAAAAATAACTTTCTATGAAAATCAATCCAATATATATCAAAATTGTTAACAAAACATGCTAGTTAAAATGTCATGTACTTTGCTGTTGTAATGAAAAACACTGGTTATATTAACAATTTTCATTATAGCAAAGAATTAGCTGAATTAACTAATAACTGCTTACAGACATAATTTCTTTGTTGAATCATCAAATCTTCTTAGTTATAGATATTGAACTCGCTCAGCAAATTTTAGTTTTACTGAATTACCCAATCTATTTTTTTTGTGCGCCATTATATGAAATTAAAACAACAAATTTAATTCGTATCAAGTTGCGACGGTAATAACTACCTGAATACAACGAATAACGCAAAAAGGAAAAAACAAGCTTGCAAAAAATTTGAAGGAAGAGAGACGCAAAATAAGGATAGAGGATAGAAGCGTTGAAATGCAACAACGTCCATTCCAAGAAAGTTGTTTTCGCCTGCCTACTTCTTGCTATCCGCGTGTGTAAATCACGTACACATCACCATGATAGTATGAGACTGAAATCCGGGAACCTTGACAAGGAAAAAAATAAATAATAACAAACGGCCTTCATGGGGCCGATCTGCGTAAGAGAAGTTAATTCTCTCTTTCTCTCGCTCTTTTCTTTCGAGTGTATTTTCTATCCAATACTTCTTTTTAAGATGATTAAAAGTGATAACGATCATTAATGCACGTTTAATAGATATTATGAAGTCACAATAAATGACTACTGTATCAGTGGATACAATATTACAGTGTTAGTATATTTTTTTGATATTAACATGTTGATTGGCAGTACGTCGATTTTCTCTCGCGAGAGAATCTCGATATCATTATTCGAGTGATAAATAAAAGATCGCGGATCCACCGGTATCTTTTCGCGGCTGCAAAAACGTCCGCCAAGTACGCCGATCGCCAGACATTGAACGGTAAATCGTACTTGGAAACTTGCCGAGCGCGGTACGTCGCGTCGGATCAGTTGTACACTTTATAACGAATCCCTCACATTTCTTTTCAACACTCGGATAAAGGATGACGTAAGTAATTCCTATCTTACATCCAATCATCCTCCATCGGAGAAGGATCACGCAACATTTTTATTACGTCTTGTCCTCGTTGTAAAATATTTCAAAGCATATATACACATTCTCTCTCTAGAAATTTATGAGATTCATGATCTACTTTAGTTAGCCATAATACTATTATGACTGTACTATCGTAATGTAAAAAAAATATTCCAAGATACTTGAACAAGTAATAAAAGATAAAAAGAGTATTAAAAAAATCCTCTTCAAACAGATTATTTAGTAATTAATCCTTCATCTGCCATCTGAGTCTATTTAGCACAAATGAACTTTCACTTTCAAATTTTACAAATTTTCTTTTAGCCAATGACACTTTGAAGAGTTTTATATTAGACAGAATTTTTTTATGCTAAAATAAAACAAGATTGACAACATAACTCTAAATTTTTCCACATTTTTTTTTTAAATTTTAAACAGTAAAAAAAGTTTAAACTGGAGAAAAAAGGATTCCGATTATAGATAAAGGAAAAAATAAATTGTAGACGGAGGGTTAATATCAATCATTGCATTGTATAGGCGCATCATTAGTATTGTAGTATATTTTATCGGCATATTTTTCGTATTTTCACAGCTAGACGATGTTTAAACGTTTGTCGAAGTCGCGGCGCCACAGCGCTGACGATGTTGCCCTTTCTTTGTCGAGCTCGGTGGTTCCACTGGACGAGCTATCAGCGACTTCAATGCCACGGACAAAGAGTCAGGATCTGGAATCTGCCACCCTGCTGAAAATCTCCCGGACGAAATATATCCGGAGAAGCTGCGGCGATGCGGGTGCGATGCAAACGCTGCTCGAAACGAAGCAGGACAACGAGCAGGATGTCATCGAGGCTGACTATCAAACGGTTACGGCCGTGCCAGCCTTCATTGTCGAGCACGATCCGAGCAAGCAACGAGGTGAGTTGTCGATAATCTCGGATCTTGACAATGAAATGTGTTATCAATTCGATCACCAGATATTAAACGGTCTCATTGCTCTTGATTGATCAGCAATGATTGCTTTCTAAATAATTATTTTTCTCATCAGAATCAAACGCAAAGATATTTAATTTAAGATACGTTATACTTGATGAATAAGATTTTTAATAGGATTTTTTCGGAGATGTATATGATATTATTTATTAATATTTTAATTTTTATTCTTATTTATATTCTTATTTGAGAAAAATATATAACAAATATTTTTACATATATTATAATATATAATATAATATATAATATATAGCAAAAATAATACAAAATAATTAATGTTGTGAGTGATGAAATCCTGATTTCGTCGAATAATTTTGTGTATTGCGAGCACGAGAGTACGCGATCATAAAAAGCTTGCAGTATAAACTGCTACATTCGAATAATGCACATTGCACACAGGTTTAAATACAATACAATACTTTCAACAAACTGGGCTCTATGCTCTGGTGACTTTCATGTCTCCTAATCGTCAGTGACTATGCACAAAAAAGTACCGCCTTGACTGTCGACATCACTGATCTTGCTCCTGTTCTGAATGGCCGCGAATTACTGCTAATCCAGGAAAACATCACATCCTTTCACTAATCGCTCGCTTGGCGCGCTCGCCTCGTTAGAGTCCCATCGTCCGACATACTTGCCAACACCAGCTTGCGTTCGCTACTTGTTACGATAATATCACAGTGAAATTAGTAATTTTGCTCTTTCCTGTTATATTTTAATAGAAAGTTTGTTTGTAATTTAATTCATTAGCTATTAAGTTGTTTTTATAAATTATTTCATTTTTAAAAAGTTAATTTTCAATGTTTTTTTACATTGGAGCATAAATGGATTTATGCCTAATTTCTTCATCTCTAGATAACTTTATCCAAGAGATATCTCCTAGAGTACAATAGAGATATCTTCTGGATAAGATTATCCGCAATTTTTTTCGAGGAAGTGTAGAAATTGGGCATTAGATATTTATTCTCTACTACATGTATATATAATTTAGGAAAAAGAGAAACGTTGAAGAATATTCACTCCTTTTTTTCTTATGTTTATGGAATACGAAGCCAATTAGCAATAGACAATATGATTTTGATTTTTTCATTTATGTTAACAATATATCGTTTTTTTGTTTTTCAATTTATATTGTAATTTTATGTAGTATATTTTTACTTAACATAATTTATAATTACATTGAATGAATCTTAATATATAATTAATTATGTAATAAATTTTCTAATCTTTACCTAGGAATATTGTTAAATTCGTCGTTTAAATTACTTAGAAAATATTCTAAAAATATGCTGTTATACAAAATAAAATATATAGTTTTTATTTTTTTAATTATTTTTACAGAGTTGATAACAGAAAAAAAATGATAGAAAAAATTCTTCATAGGATGTCTACTTAATGATACTCTTCTTCTCATGACATTTCTTTTCTTACAGACACCTGCAATTTCCGCGATAACGAATAAAACATGCCAGTTGAGATATTCTAAATATATTTTTGATTACGGGGACATCGTGATCGGTGATAAATAAGGCTGTTACGACACGATGCGATATAAACCGCCTTTTGCACGCGCATCGTACCGTATCGCAAAACATATGTGCCCGATACACGAGCAGCCTTTTAATCGTTTCTCGTTATGTAGAACCGATGTGTCGCAGGCCCGTTAGTCGGGGTGACACCTCGAAAAAGTAGTCCCAAACTACGCGGAACCGCTGTTGCGAGTTTCTCGTATATGGCGGCAGCGGATAGCCGCAGCTCTCGAGAACCACCATATGTCGCACGCGGGTGTGGGCATCGGGCAGTTTTTCGTTCTACGTTCTGCGAGATGGCACGCTGCCATTTCAATGTCTTACTCCCTTCTACCTTCCGTCCATTCCCATTGAAGATCGAAACGTAAAAAATTCCGTTTAGCTCGTTATCGGGTAGTTATGAAATAATGAATTTATTTTTGCTATATAATTTATGATAGCATTGTTAATCATTAGTAGATATTATTGAATAATATCAGTGATAAATATTTTTTTCTCCTTGTTATTATTATTATATACATATAATGTATAACTATCTATGGGACTTGAAATATTTTTGTTGATTTGAAAGCACAAAGATAAGATTAAAAGATATAAAGTTACAGGCCACTCTATCTACTTATAAATTATTTACAGATTTAGCTTTTAGAATAATATATTTACCATTATAACTAAATAATTGTCAATAATATTATTTTATATTAATATTATTTTCTTCTGTAGTGTTGGGTCTAGGAATTTGGGGTCGCAGGATGGGCAAGAAGATCGATTCGTTTCGACGGACTAGATCTCGCGAGACTATCTGCTCCATTACAGAAAGGCCCGATAGTGTCCAACACAACATCAATAACAATAATAATAACAATATCAACAATAACGATACTAGTACTAGCAACAATAATATTGACGTTCATCAATTAAGCAAGATACACTTGGATGAGAGAACGAACAGGAAGTTACCGACAGTTTGTCAACGATCCCCATCTCCCTTCAAATCATTCTTCATTCGGATGGGTTCTACTGGCATGCTCAATTCGACCAAAAGTAATAGAAGATCTCAAAATATCGAGGAAAGAACCATACCAGATAAAGAGAGCCTGTTCAGAAGCTGTAGTACCAGTCAATTGAACAATAGTCCAACTTACGTGAAAGGAGACGATCCTTCGGAAGGTATAGATCTACAAATAGCCGCGCGAAAAGACAAGACGGTATCCTGCGATAACCTAGCAGGACATCAAGGCAATGATCATGAGATTTTCGAAGCTCGCGCACTAGGTGATCCTTGCGCCTCCACGTATTCATTGGGTAGTCCTTCGGTAAGTTTCAGCACCTGCGATCTCGAGAAAACGAAGAATGAGTCGTTTATGAGGAAGAGCAGTAGTTGCGACCTGAAGGAAGCGAAAAAGTCCAACTTCCCGTATGCCTTCTTGCGATCGAAACTGTCCGTGTTACCAGAGGAACGTCATGGATCATTAATCTCCAAGGATGAAAGGCTTTTCAAGACTGTGTCGGAGGAGCACTTTCCGACCTTGCAGATCGAGGATTCTTACATTAATACCACGACCCTCGGACGGAAAAAATCGAGGATTGGAAATATTAATAACTGTGGTCTCGATGCTGTAAGGAATCAAGAGAATATTTCGCGACTGGGTCGGATTTCCTATACTGAATTTCAAAGAAATTCCAGATACGAAGCAGACAGATACAGCCTGAATGCCAGTCGCCTCGAACGAATCGAAGCCGGACTTCAACGAGAGGGAAACAATGTTGATTGTTACAGCCTGTTTGACGGAAGTCTACTGTCTCTTCGGGAAAATAACGAATTTCGATATAGTGAGGATACTACGCGCGATAAAACAGATTTTGCTGTTGGCAGAATCGAGACTGGCATAATGGAGAATTGCAATGTTGATCTCGATATGATGACCGCTATTAGAAGTAATCGACGGAACTCGGTATCGAGCTGTGAGCAGAGATTGTCGTCTCACTATGTGAGTTCAAACGAATCCGGCTATGACAGCGATGGACCACGAGGTGAATCCGTAGCAGCCTTGGAGAATGAGGGACTGAAATGTAGTTCAGACACTAGCAGCGTTGTGGATTCAGAGGCGGATAAACCCATAAGGAGTTCGACGCCGAGTGAGAGCCAAGATCAGGAAAATGTCCAGATTGCGGGTAGAATCAGACAAAATTCTGACATTGACGAAAACAGGCCGGATACGATTTCCCGGATGAATTTTGAAGGGATAGATGGTCTCAGGTGGCACCAGAGCGGATCCGGACGAATGCTGCCAAGTATTCACGGAACGTCTTTCGAGGAAGAAGCTGTGTCACGGCTGGAAGACACTCCTCTTCCAAGCTGCGAGGACAGATTGAATCTTCCGTCGGATATGGTGAAGACATTGGACGTCTCGTCTCATCGCGCGAGGTTGCAGCAGGATAAAACGAGATTTTTGAGTGACATTATTCAGCCGTTAACGAGGGTACGACGATGTTGCTTGATACAATTGCACAAGAGAGATCCTAAAGACAGTTTGGGCATTCGATTGGCGCAGCAGAGACTAGGAGATTTGCGATACATTGTCGTACAACTCGAAAGTGATGGCATTGCTCATAGGTGAGAGAAACTTATTGCAAATATTTCCAACTTATTACGAATGCATATTGCAATAAAAACACAGCTTCTAATTTTTCTAACTTTGAATTATTTAATTTTAAACGATTTTGTAAAAGCGATTTCATTTGGAGTTACTCTTTATTATATTTTGTAAACTGTCGCTCGATTTTTATAAAACTTAACTTATAACTAATTTCATATTGTTTTATTTGAATCTTTGAGGTAAAAAAGTTAATTAAAAATAATAAATTCAATAAGGACAGAATTTCAAGAAAATAATCTGATTATCGTAAAATTCTCAGTTTTAAGAAATTTTTAATTGCAAACTGATTTTCAAATTACTTATGAGCTCTGTAAGAGCTCGTTCATTTAAAGTTATTCGTTTAAAGTTCAACATTTTCAGGCTATTTAAACTTAGTTATATCAAGAATCTCCTAAAATCGAGTTTCATGATAATCAGATTATTTTTCGAGATTTGAATTTCTAAAATCAGAATTCAGTAACACTACTTTAAAAAACCCTTAGAAAATAAGATCATTTTTAAATCTCTTTAAGTCAGAAAAAAACCATCGAAGGATTAAGCCTAGCAGATTTTCAGCAGATTTTATTTTAAAGCTTTGTCTAAGTCTAAAATAATATTATTATTTCGATTGCAGAGACGGTAGACTGAGATTGGGTGATGAGATTGTTGAAGTCGAAGGTAAAGAGCTAAAAACGCTGGAAACTCTTGAAGAAGTTCAAGAATTTCTAAAATCCTTTACCGGTAACACAGTACGATTAACGACGGCGTACGAGGAGACAGTGCCGCAAGTATACGAGAATCCACCGCCAACCGTGCCTGGCGAGTACGAGTACCTGGAAAACGCGAAGAATCTGTCCAGCATGTCGTTGATCGACACCGAAGCGAATCACGTTTCTTCATCGATCGAGAAGAAGAAGAAGAAGAAGATAACTGATGGCGACGCCGAGCTACTTCAGTCGAGAAAGAGGCCCGACTTCCTGCCGCTTTTATGCTTATCTGAAAATCAAAAGAACATCCGTAGCAGTGTGGAATCCGCTATGGAATCGCAACACTATTTAACAAGACACGTGGCCAAATTCGAGAAGGGTTATGGCAAACCTAGTTTGGGCTTCAGCGTTGTAGGTGGCAGAGATAGTCCCCGGGGTGATATGGGAATCTTCGTAAGAAGGGTTTTTCCCGGTGGGCAGGCTGACATTTCCAAATCACTGTTTCAAGGTAACATTTTAAAAAAACCATTTTCCACGCATAATAATCATTTTCCGTACGCTAAATTGTAGTAGTTTTTAATTAATATGCCAGATACACATTTATTGTATGTTATAATTTTGATTTAAAAATATCAAAGTAAGCAATTAAATGATTGTAATATTCAATACATACAGGACTACTTACTTTATATTTATAATTAGCGGGATAGTCAAGTCTGTCACTTCTGATAATGCGTAATATGCATCGTTTCACACATCGACGTGCCGCAAATACTTTTCGCTCGAGAGTTATCAATTGCGGGGATAAGGGAAGAGACATGACGCCGCGTCGAACGCACGTTCAGCGGACGGCTTCGTGTATTCATGACGATGCGAGGATCCCGCCAGACAGCTGTCGAATCTTTAATCCGACAGCTAACGTCACATGCATATCTAAACAGTCGCGGCATGTTCTACCGTTTTTCTTCTGCTCCTTTTCTTTTCTTCTCTTTTTCTTTTCCCCCTTTTGCCGTCCTCGCTTTCTTTCATCAGAAGACGGCCCGATACTTCATGTCATTGACAGCACCGATATTAATGTACCGCTTCCTGCGGTACGCGATATCTTTATCGCGTTATTATTTCATGTACGAAATAATTACATATATGCAAACAGTTATTCTTTTTTTTTAATATTCGGTAGGTTTAATATTTAGTCACATCTATCACAAGTTATCGTCCTAACGAATATTAAGAAGGATCATTCGATGCTGGTAAGATATTTGTGTGAAGTTGATATGTCGATAATCAGGGAGGTCGTTAGACGCGTTTCGCGTTCTCATGTCTCGAATTTCAACCGAGATCATCGCTTTTTACACCTGTATCGCGGTTTCCTCGTTGTTCATTGTCCCTTACCTGCATACTTAGAGTAACGGGCTGGTAGCTGATCAGCTTGCATAAGCGCAGGAGATAGCATCCCACAAGAACATTCTCGTCACGAGGATGGTCATTAGCAACTTCGAGGGTTACTTTTTGGTCGTTAAACTTTATTGAGATTATCAGAATGTTTTTGGAGAGGGCGATTCCGATAACTTGAATAGAAGACTGCGAGAGCATTTTTCCTCTTTAATTATTAAATTAGCAATGGTTTTCAAAAAAATTGAAGATTTGAAGAAGTATATTTTCTTGATTTTTAGGTGATGAAATCTTGAGTCTAAACAGACAAATTTTGAAGGGCCGCACACATCAGGAAGTCATTGAATTATTTAAGACGGTGAGAGAGGGTATAGTCGAATTAGAAGTTACAAGAAGACATAGGTAAAATATTTATAAGTATCTATTAAAGAAGTGCAAGCATTAAGGAAGTATTGAAAACATGACGTGGTTAATAAAATTAATGACAATTGTTGCAGATATCCCAAAAGTACTGTAAAAACTATCACTGCGCCGTACTAGACAATATGGACGAAGAAGAAACTGCCCACCGGAAGTGCTCTTTAGATTTAGGTCTAACCTATTATCGTTCACATGGAGAAAACGGCGTTTTAGAATTCTAGTCTATCAAAAAAAATCTATGACTTTTCTCTGACGTTTTTCTCTTAGATAATTTATTTCGCGCGACATATCTCGTAATTGCCTGATAGATTAATAGTTTTTATTATTAATGAACTATTCGCGTATTATAATATTATGACTATTATTGAGTATTACGTCCTTAATATTAAGATTTTATACAAATAACGTTACGACAACGTAGAATCGATTACTGTGCATTTTTTTTAAATTATAAAGGACAATAAAGAGAATGTTTTTCACAGGTACTGAATGGAGTACCGTATCCAGATTATTATTAATTAAGTAACTGTTATTAAATAACTATTATTAAATAACTGTTTTATTTCTAATGAATTCTGAGAAAATGTACAGTATATACATGATTCGTATTTTACATAATTTGCTCTCTGCCTCTTTTTCAGCGGTCATTGCTTTCACGTATCTATCAGTAAAAGATCTGCGCACGACTTGGCTTTCGATATTCTGAAACAAAAAAGCAAAAAATGAAATAAAAGGAATTTGTATAAATCCAAATAAGTGATGTATAAATAAATAATTTTTGCTTTTTTCTATAAAAGTTTCTAATAACCATTTTAGTTTTAATCAAATATTGATTACAATAATTATGAATATTATTTCCAATTTTTGATATGTCACATATATTAATTAATATTTTATTTAAATTAATACGCTAAAAGTGCGACGATATTAATTCATTAATTTGATTAAATATGAAATATTTATATGAAATATGAAATATTATATGAAATATGAAATATTATATATATATAATATTTAAGAATCACTTACTGTGAGTCACGATTTTTCACGCGTCTACACAGGTGTAAAGCAACCGGCCCACTTTTAATATTACGAAATAATTGTACGGCTTCACGATGCGTCAAGTCGTGACAAACTTGGCCATTCACAGCCAAAATCTCATCTCCTGCACGCAAACGGCCATCTTCGGCGGCCTGTCCACTAGGCAAAACCGATTTTATGAAGATACCTGTGACAAATTAAAGAATATAGAATATAAAAATAATTTAGAATTTATTATAATCCAAAACTGATCAGAAAATGTTTTTTTAGAACTTTTAAATGATCCATATCAGAACAACAAGATAAAATATTCTAATTACATGCATAATAAGAGATAATCTATATTTAACTGATAATTAAAAAAAGTATACAGCGAAAATTATATATTCGTGTATACCAATGCTTCCTTTCGGGCTGTCTCTTCCGCCAACTATGGTAAATCCTAGAGACTTCTTCCCGGCGCCTTTTTCGAAAAGCACCGTAAGGAATGTAGATACCGTGTTCCTCGGTCTTCGAGGAAGAGTACAGAACTTCGAAACGCTCTGCGTGAATCCGTTATCCATGTTTGTCGCGAATTTTTCGGACGAAATCGATCTATTCGATTCATCCTTCCTGTCTCGGTGACATCTGGTCTGATGCTTCCTAAAGTGATGCGATCCGGGTGAACTTTCGACGATCACTCCGTGGCCATCTTCCATGCTAACATTCTCGTAATCCACGCTGCTCTCTTTCAATTTCTTCGCTTGTTGATCGACGCTCGAAAATCGTGAGACTACGATGTCAATATCACCGGGGTCGCTATCATTACCTAGAATCTTCTTAGCCTCCGCCATACTCAGACCACGTAATCTCTTCCCATTAACAATCAGGATCTCGTCACCGATCCTCAGTGTGCCCTCTTTATCGGCCAATCCGTTCGGCACTACGTGAGCCACTAAATAACCTGGACTGGACTCTGCAGTTTTTGCGATGAAGATACCAAGACATTGGTCGGATGTCTCCTTGAGAAGCTTGACAACCATCGTCTCTGTCGTGTAGGCTCTACTCCTCACCACTTGCAAACCGGAACTGCGTTGTTTCTGTCTAGAATCCTCGTCCACGATTCCTCTCTCTCTCTCTCGATCTGTATTGTTTTCCACTGTGGCTCGACTCATTTGACGATCTATTAACGTGTTGTTCGCGGCTTGACAAACACTCGAATACTCCTCGGTAAGAAAACTCATTCCGGAGTCTTTGTCCTTGGTCTTGTCGTAGTACATATCCAAACTCGCGAAGAGTCGCGCGGTTCCGTCGACGTCTGTGGCAGTCGAGAAGGGTCTTCTGGGCGGAAGCTGAGGCGGCGATCCTAAGCAAGAGTCGTTGTGGCTACTATTGTTTAGCGGCCCGGAAGCGCCGCTGCTACATCTGTCGTCCAGGAGAGAGCTGGTGGCGGAATCGTTGTCCAGAATCCCGGAATCATTATCGTCCTGATCCTGTTCCTCGTACAGAGGATTCGTCCGGAGCTCTTCTAGACCCGGCAACGTGCCATAAGAAAAACTACGTAGTCTTCGCTTCTCGCGATCCTTGCAGTCCTTTCTGTAGATTTTCGCGATCAGCTTGTTCGTCGAGCTTTTGAGATACCTGTCCTGCATCGCGCGAAATTTCGCCGCCAAACAGCTGGATGGCGTAATGCTGTCGAATGTCATTGCATCCTTTTTGAAAATATTCTCACCTAGCCTAGATATTCCTGTATCGACCATTGTCACCTGACCAATGGATTGACCAGCGTCACGGTTCGCCTCGAGGAAGCCCCGATCAGTCCTCTCCCATCGGTAATCGTGAGACATCGCGTCTTCCTGGACTGAATTTCCCTCTTGCGGCTGCCACTCGGGTTGCTTCCGAGGCGTCGAGGTGCGAAAGCCCAAGAAGGAGAACCGCTCTTCCTGCTGCTTTTTGTACGACAACCTGCTCTGCGACTTGGCGCGTCTCTTCCTCTTCGCGTGGTTATTCCCCTCCTCCGTTATGTCCTTCAGGTCAGACTCGCAGACCGAGCGTCGGAACTCGTTCCTGGTCAGACCGCGATGCCTCAGCTCGCACATCGAACGGAACTGGACTCGTCCCATTTCCTCGTCGTCGCCATCGTTCTCACCTTCATCGGAATCGCGATCCTTGAAGAAGCTCAGTCTGGTGCTCTTCACGCGGTCCAGTAGAGGATTTCGCTTCTCGCATACTCTCCGTCGTTCTTCTTGAATCCTCTTCTTGTCCTTCTTGCTAGTAGTTCGCTCGGTCGTTACTTGGGAGGTTTGCACGTTGTAGCAGTTTCTCTCGGATTCGGAACTCGATGATTTTCTCCGGGCCCATCGCACTGGCGATATGTCTGAGATATAAGAATGAAAGTATTAATAAATGTGCTAAATGTGCACAGCAGACGGAATAGATATATAAAATATATATATATATAT